GAGTATACACACAGTCTTTATAAAAATACAAACTCGATCAAAGAAATGCTTTTATTCTGAAAGTTTAGTTTAGTTTAAATTTTTTATTCATTTCATTTAAAACCAAAAATTTTATACACATTAAAAACAAAACATATACACAACATACAATATAGAGTATACACACAGTCTTTATAAAAATACAAACTCGATCAAAGAAATGCTTTTATTCTGAAAGTTTAGTTTTAGTTTACTTTAAATTTTTTATTCGTTTAATTTAAAACCAAAAATTTTATACACATTAAGAACAAAAGATATACACAACATACAGTATGTGTATATATATATGAAATGAAAGGAGGCTGAAAGAAGAAAAGGGTTAAATTGGAAGTATAACTAGTTAGACAACTGGTTTGGATTGGCCGATTTTCCACGGATGATCCCGCCCACCTACAAATAAACCAATAGAAATAGAAAACTAACAACATGATAGTCTTGGTAACAGTTGTCTTAGCGTTAGCTTCCACAATATCTGTTTAGCATTAATAAAGCTAAGATTCTTGTTTAGCGGATTAGTGGTTAGTGAAGCTAACRTTTTGGTTAGTCACCACTGTTTATTTGCATTTTGTGTCAGTCTACAACCTGTCTAACTGTATCCACCCGCAGGTGAAAATGACACTCGGCTGAGGATAAATCTGACCCTGGGTCTCATCCCCCCACCCGCTGCTGCTCCACCCAGTTCCATCCTTCAGGAGAAGACCGCTGTCRTGTTGTGAACTCCACAGACCGGCTCCTTGCTCCTGTCAGCACAGAGACTTRCTTCACAAAAGACTGATGGACTAAAAGCATGTGAGAAAACAGCTGTATTCCACCGTGCAATGGGTTCGTCTCCTATTTATTAGACATGTATATATATTTTTTATAAACTTGTTCCGTCGTCGATGAATGTTCCGTGCGGATGTTGTTAGAGTGGAACAGGAAGTACTTGGTCTGCAGGTTAGTCAGCTGAAAATCCCCACTAAACAGAAACGTTTGCTGAAAGGTTACACAGCCTRTAACCTCTGAGAAATGTCAGTGACACCAGTGGACGGGTCCTTTCACTGACCTTTAACAAACATTCTGCAAATGTTCCCATGTTTACTGAGAAGTCACATATCTGAGGATGGTTGCTGTAGGTTAGTCAAACTGGTTTTATAGTTTATAAAATGTGTCATTGTCCGTGCTTTCAGTTTTTTCAACAGAGCCAAAGACTCATTTGATACATTTTGCCCAGTGTTTCACCTCATTATATAAAAAGTAAATGATGAAATATTTGCTCCAACATATAAAAAACATTTGACATGCTTGATTAGTAAATAGCTACAGTGTCTTTTAATGTATTCATTGAGTGCATCAATCAGTTTTCATCATTAGAATAGATTTTTTTTGTTATGGTTTGAGTCTTAAAGCCTGAAACTAGTACGTCATTGGGCTGCAGCTGTTGGTGACTGAAAATTACTATCAAACACTAACAGAGCTCTACGTGGTACTTCATGCATAGAAACAGTGTTTTAACATTGTCTTATAAACACTGAAAATTACTACGTGTCTCCCACTTTCCGACAGGGAATTCCCACTGGAAGTGCGTTCTAGTTTAAATTTACGACTTGTAAGTGGGAAGCCCCCACTTCCCAGTACAACAGGGCCGCACCAAGAGTAGCTGGCAAAAAAATGCAGCTAAATGGAGATTTTACGCAACACGGCTATTTTTGAACCCTGTGCACTTAGTGCTGGGATGATGTAAGTTCGCTGGTAAAAGAAAAAAAAGATGTAGTTTATGATCAATGCTGGTTTTAAAGCAGCAGACACTTATTTGAAGACATTAATACATCGATGCTCTTGCGGACTACATAAAAGGCTGTGGCGAGCCACATTTAGCCCACTGGCCTCATGTTTGACACGTATAACATTTAAAACAATTTCTGAAAATTTTGTCTAATGTTGAATATATCTACGATGAAGATGAAATCCAAAAAATCTACTGTAAGCCTCTTTTGGGAAATTACATATTGAAATGTTAATTATTGGACTGAAAATATAACCTATAAGTCATTTACAAATTGTTCATAAGTTGGCAAAAGTTTTGTAAAATGTTATAGTGTGACAGGGTATTCACAGTTGAGACTAAATATGCCATCATTTTAAAATTTATGATTTTTGAAGAAATTGAGACTCAGAAATATKTTGAGACATTTTGGAAACTGTTGTGAATGCTGGTCGTACACTAGCCACCAACGGTCTCAGCCCAGTGATACTGCAATAAGGAGTATTTTAATCATCTGTTTGTTCAGTGGTTACTCAGAAAAGCTTTGGTATTAATACTGATAATAAGTTACACTGATGATTTCAGAGGCTGAGCTGCTTCAAAGACAGTTCAGGTGATTTAATTCCATATTTCTGATCAAGTAAAATCCCACTAAACAATAAATAATCCTTTGTAAAACAAAACAAAAAATATATGTAGAAAAGTAAAATCATAAATCATCTCAATGTGGTGAATGTTATGTTTTGAAACAAATGATACAAAGTTTGGTTTCTCAGTTCCTAAAAGCTAGCCTGTTAGCTTATTTGCTAAGCAGTGGTTATTCAGGCTGGGTTTGTRTGACAGATATCTGTTTACTTCATCATGTTCAGGTCATACAGCTTTTCTATATGGCCTGAATTATTGTGTATATCTTAAAAGCAATATATTTACACAGTAAATGAATGTTCACATTCAAAACAGAGTTCTAAGCTAACAGCGAAGTCATTACTAGCTAGCTAATGAGTATGGTCAGCTATTTCTAATATTTTAAGTGTAGTTTCTGAAGAATTAATTCAGCATTTTTTTTAATACCAGTATCTGTGACACACCACATTATTAGAGGTGTCCGCAAGGTGTTTATTTTCAGTCAGTGTGCTTATTTTCTAACAAATTTTTTTTACCTCTCACCCCCTCTACAAAAACATAAAAAAAGACAAAAACAAATCAGCATCTCCCAGGATCACTTTCTGCTGTTGCATTTAATTTGGAAGAGTTACAAAGTGGAAACTATAAGCAAGTTCAGCTTCACTGTCAAAATATGTAGATCCCTGTCCTTGTTGATCCGTTGGACCAGTGCGATGGAGGAATATAAACACCCCATCTGATTAAGATTAGCAGCACATGTCTCTGCACCTGAAGCTGTTTTAAATATTAAATATTAAAAAATAATAATTTAGCACTTACCAACAAAGTCACTATTTTTGCTAAAAATGTTCTTCCTTTCTACCTAACTAGTATCCAGTTCCAAACATTCAATTATTTATATAAAAGTGTATTTTCAGCAGAAGAAGAAAAAAAAATCTTATATCTGCTACTATTTATAACAACAAAAATTATACAAGACCAGTCAAAAAAGTGCAAGAATTTGCATTTTGCACTATCGGATCTTAAGAAGGTTCTAAGTAGAGCTTCACAATGTTAAAAGAAGAAATCAGCGCAAAAGACATGAACTTTTGAGCAGGGAATTTTCTGAAAA